TTTCCTTTTCTTTTCCTTTCCTTTCTTTTCTTTTCTTTTCCTCTTTTTTTCTTTTCTTTTCTTTTCCTTTCCTTTCTCTTCCTTTCTATTCTCTTCTTTTCTTTTCTTTACTTTTTTTTTTCCTTCCGTTTCTTTTCCTTTTTTTTATTTTCTTTCATCATCAAAATAGGCGTGTTGCCTTAAAATATGTAAGAGCTGTTATAGTTTAGAATCTCTAGTGAAAAGTGTTTGCTTAATGACAAACTCTATTAAAATTCAGAATAAAATAGAATAATTAATCAAACATATAAGTAGAAAAGGCTTAAAAAATAAAATAAGAAATAATGTGCAGCAAATATACAACTAACAGACCACACATCTACTTTAGTTAAGTAGTAGACTGACCCCGAAAGAATTTCGGGAGGCTTGCACTATAGAGGTAAAATATGTGGAAATACAAAGGCACCCAGAGTTCACCAACATTTGAAAATGCTATATTTTGCATATAGTAAAACAGTTAATAAGTAAACAAACTTTACCTCATTAGTGTATTTCTTCATTAGAAAAGTAAATGTAACGACCCCGGAAATATTAAAATGAAATGAGTATTTAATTATATCAAATGCGAAAGCGAGATCAAAATTTCAGTTAACATCCTTTACACGAAAATAAAAAACGTACTTAAAATATAAAAGATTAAACTAACTAAAAGAGAAACTCGAAAATAAAGCTATGATTATGACTACAGAGTCTCTAGGCATCCCTTTCATCGTCCTCCTGCGGAACGGGCTCGGGAACCATGTCTTCCTGATCTGAAATGGTTAAATAAGGAGTGAGCTACACTAGCCCAGTAAGAACATCACGATATCTCACCGTCACGGAGGTAAAGGTGGGTAAAAAACACAAAGGACCCATGGAGCATGTTTTACAACAAATCCTTTTATTTATGATAAAACCTTTACCATTCACTTACCTCGGTGGAATTTATGAAACAATATAAGAAAAACAATAACATTATCATAATCATGGAATAATATAAGCTGTAAAACATAACACTTATCACGCCTCTTGTAATTCAATCATTATACAACATATCTTTTTCTCATTTACCAGCCTACTAGTATCCGTGGGGGTCCATAGGGGTCCCGCTACCCGTTAACCTTTAACATTCATAATCAGTTTCCAGGGCCGTCCCCATACCCCGTCCGGTATGGGCGCCAAAACCATAAACCTCAATACCCCGTCCGGTATGAGGGTGAAACGGGCCGTCCCCATACCCCGTCCGGTATGGGCGCCAAAACCATAAGATCTCCATACCCCGTCCGGCATGTGAGACCACAATTCCGGTAGGGTTCCCTACGGACCCGGTCCGTCCACCATCTCCCAGGATATCTAGTTAGGCTGACCCCATAATACAATTATCAGTCTACACAATCCTTTATTTTCCTTTTCCTCAGTCAGCATCATCAATTCACATTTAAACAAGCAAATCGTAATTCATGCCAAACAGACAACATACAGTATCAGTTTTTCAGTCATTCAACCCATAATCAATAAAAACGTAGTATATGCACACAAATCTGTAAAATGAACACATCAAACCTCATTTTGCATTTAAAGCTGTAAACAGGCCAAATAACAGTAAATCACTAATCACACTAGACTAGGGCTCCATTAGCCACCTTAAGCAATTTCACACATTCGTTAATTCAAGAAATACCGTTTTATCATTTGAACTTTAATACCGTGATAGGAAATAGGGTGAGGGTTCCTTACTTATTTTCGAGATTCGAATACGATTCACAGTGCGCCTACAGGCTGTTCCTAATTTTTCCTGAATTTTTCCCGGGGAACTGAAACGCACTAGTGGTACCTGTACGTGTTCCAAAAAATCTCAAATTAGGCTTAGGGCCCCTTTTTTTGGCCAATATCGCTTGCGGCGGCGATTCGCCTCGGGTTGGCTGTTTTCGGCCGTTTTCGGCCAAATTCGGCCACACTCGCATCGGTCCCTGCGAGAAAACAACCCTAGGGCCATCGGGGGGCCAAAAAATCACGGAAAAACGGAGCTTACCGGCGGCGGCGCTCTCGGGTGCGGCGGCTCTCCGTCGAGGTTCGTGTTTTGGTGATTCGGCTCCGGTCAACCTGTAGAGAAAAGAATGGTGATCACGGTGATATAAAAATTGCATCAAACGGAGGCCGGGAAGGGCCTCGTCGGAGGCAAAAACCGAGAAGAGACGCGGCGGCGCCGCTGGTCTTCGGCCGCGTATTCCGGCCGTTTGGCCGGGATTTTGGCTCCGATTTGGCCACAGGAGGAATCAGCGTGGAAAAACGAGTCGGGGGTATGAAATTTACCTCGATCGGCGGTCGGAAATTTCCCCGGCGCGGCGGCGGGTGGCGGCGGCCGGCTTCTGGTTTGTCTTCTCCGGCGAGCGGCAGGCGGCTAGGGTTTGTGGTCTGGTGTGGGGGTTCTATTTATAACCCCTTGCCTTTTGATCTCAGCCGTCCATTTTGTTTTAATCTGGGCCGTTCGTTTTTGATTGAATCTGGACCGTCCGTGCGATTGCATCTGGGCCGTCTGATCGCGCGATTGATCTGGGCCGTCCGATCGCGCTCACGGGGATCGCCAACGTGGCCCGTTCCGGAGTGACGTGGTCTTGCCACGTGGCAGGCCCCGGTTGGCCGGGATTGCTGACCGGGCACGCTGACGTGGCTTTTTTTTTTTTTTTCGGCTCCTTTTCTCCGGGCGCTACAGTAAATGCCCGAACTTTACCTCATGTATTTATGTATATATGCATATATATGTATATATGTATGTATCTATGTATGCATATGTGTATATGTATGCATATGTATATATATATTTGCATACATATATAAGTATGTATGTGTATGTATTTTTCCATTCTTCTTTACATTTCTTTTCGTTTCCTTTCTCTTCTCTTCTTTTCCGTTCCATTTCATTCTTTTCTTTTCTTTTTTTTCCTTTTTTTTTCTTTTCCTCTCCTTTCTCTTCCTTTCTATTCTCTTACTTTCTTTGCTTTTTCTTTCCTTACTTTTTTTTTTCCTTTTTTTCCCTTTCTTTTCATTTCCTCCCTTTTCTTCTCCTTTCTTTTTTTTTTCTTTTCCTTTCTTTCCATCATCAAAATAGTCATGTTACCTTAAAATAGTAAGAGTTGTCGGAGTTCAAAATCTCCGAAGAAAAATTGATAAATTATTTATTAATTAAACATACAAATAAATAATGATTAAAAAATAAACTAAAAAATAATGTGTACCAAATAGACAACTAACAAACCACACATTTACTGCAATTCAGTAATGGATACCTCTCGAAAGAATTTTGGGAGCCCGTATCATAGAGATAAAATATGTAAAAATACGAAAACATCCAGAGTTGACCAACATTTGACAATGCTAAATTTTGCATACAGTAAAACAATTAACAAAGAAACAAACTTTACCTAATGAGTGTATTTCTTCATTGAAATAGTAAATACCCGAACTAACCCGAGATCTACTATCATAAGCGACATTGTCTATCGATCCATAAAAATGCGAGGTTTAAGGTCCTACAACGAAAAAAGAGTGCAAGATAGAAAACGAGTTATGTGCCTGATTTAAGTAGAGATTAAAGAAAATACATGTGTAACGTTGCATACGCGTGACCAAAATAACACCTTTACAGAATTGGTACACTAGACTCTACAACATCTTCGTTAAAATTCTTGATATCGACTTTAAAATTTGAAATTTATGAAAACATAAACATAACATCCGAAATTGTCCATATCTTGACTGTTTTAACGGGAATGTTCTCTCCAGTTTAGCAGTAGCTCTTAATTAATTTCTTAAAATTAGTGTCAAGTGCTCCTTTTAGATACATGTATGTATGTATGTATTTATGAATATATAATAGCATGCATATGTATGTATATATGTATGCATATGCATGCATGCATGCATTTATAAGTATATATGTGTGTGTGTGCTATTCACATATGAATGCGTATGTATGTATATATGCATATGTATGTGTGTACATATGTATGTATACATTTAATGCATATGTGTGTATGCATGAATGTATGTATGTACGTTTCAATGTATACATGCACGTATGTACTAATGAATATATGTATGCATGCATGCATGTATATGTATATTTCTCTTCTTTTTTACTTTTCTTTTCTTTTCCTTTCTTTTCCTTTCCTTTCTTCTTTTTTGGCTTTCTTTTCTTTGTTGTCATTTCCTTTCCTTTCTTTTTTTTTTCTTTTTCTTTCCTTTCCTTTCCTTTCTTTTCCTTTCTTTTTTTTTCTTTTCCTTTCTTTTCTTCTTCTTTCCTTTCTTTTCATCATCAAAATAACCATGTTACCTTAAAATATATAGGAACTATTGGAGTTCAAAATCTCTATTAAAAAGTATCAGATTTGTACAAGGTATACTAAAATTCAGAATAAAAGAGAACAATTAATCAAACATACAAATGAAAAATGCTTAAAAAATAAACTAAGAAATGATGTCTACCAAATATACAATTAACAGACCACACATCTACTATAATTAAGTAATGGATAGCCCCTAAAAGAATTTTGGGAGCTTTGTACCAAAGAGCTAAAATCTGTAAACATACAAAGGCACCCGGAGTTCACCAACATTTGAAGATAACTATATTTTACATACAGTAAGACAGTTAACAAAGAAACAAATTTTACTTCATGAGTGTATTTCTTTATTGGAAGATTAAATGCCTAAGCTAACCCCAGATCTATTATCATAAGCAAAATTGTCTGTCGATCCATAAGAAAGTGAGGCTTAAGGTCCCTGCGATGAAAAAAGAGTGCAAGATAGAGAACAAATTCTGTCTGATTTAAGTAAAAATTGAAGAAAATATCTATGTAACACTGTATGTGCGTGGTAAAAGCAATACCTTTACAGAGTTGGTACACCAAACTCTATAATATGTTTGTAAAAATTCTTGGTATTAACTTTAAATTTTGAAATTTATGAAAACATACATATATGTATCTACATACGTGTGTAAATATATATACATGTTCATACAAACATACATACATACATACATAAATACATGCATATGCACCCTTAGAGTATATGTATGTAGGTATGCATATGTATGTATTTATGAATGTACATATGTATGTAACATGCATATGTATGTATATATATATGCATATGTATGTAGATATGCATATGCAGGCACGTATATGTATGTGTGTGTGTGTGTTATTCATGTATATATACATATGTATGTATGTATGCATATCTATGTGTGTACATGTGTATGTATGCATTTAATGCATGTGTGTATGCATGTTACTTTAAAATATGTAGGAGTTGTTGGAGTTAAAAATCTCCAGTGAAAAATATTTAGTTAGTGACAAATTCTACTAAAATTCATAATAAAATGAAACAATTAATCCAACATACTAATGAAAAAAGCTTAAAAAATAAATTAAGAAATGATATGTACAAAATATACAACCTACAGACCACACATCTATTACAGTTGAGTAATGGATAACCTCCGAAAAGATTTTAAGAGCCATGTACTAAAAAACTAAAATCTGTAGAAATACAAAGACACCCACAATTCATCAACATTTGAAGATGCTATATTTTGCATACAGTAAAATAGTTAACAAAAAAATAAATTTTACTTCATGAGTGTATTTTTTTTTATTAGAATAGTAAATGCCAAAGTTAACCCCATATATACTATCATAAGCGACATTGTCTGTCGATTCACAAGGAGGTGAAGCTTAAAGTCCATGCAACGAAGAAAGAGTACAAGATAGAGAACAGTTCTGTGTTTGATTTAAGTGAGATTGAAGATTATACCAGTGTAACACGGGATGCACGCGGCTTAAGCGGGGACATAAAATATTTGGAGAGTAATTAAATATTTAAGGCCTTGAAAAGAAAATTTCAAATTTACAACTAAATACTTTAAGTAGAACAACTAATATATGATACCTTAATACTTAAAATTTTTATATTTTACTTAAAAGTCACTAGTGTATTATTTCACTGCAGTAAGCAAGTTGAATTA